TCCATTGTGATACTTTGTTGTTACTGTGTTTGGCTTATCAAATACATCACGGGTAGCTTGCCAGGCTCTTCGAGAGGGGCGGAGGAATCGAACTTGGGTTGGCCATGTTGGCTGCGTGCAAGGCAAACACCCTACCTGCTGTGCTATATCAAAGGATTAACAAATGGTAAAAAGACAAACAACTGGAGAGCTTATTTGTGGAACTGAACTTAGGGGCATAGAAGGGTGGCAGGAGGGATCTTAGGGACATTTCTGGAGGGAAACTCTAACTGATGGTGGGTGTGGTATTATTGCAATGTCTGTATTAAATAATAAGTATTATAATAATGTTATAATATGTTACTGAAGTAACTACCTCAGTAATAATGGAGAAAATATTGACTAATCAAATCCTGTAAAATGAAAATAAATATTGCCTGATTACCACATATACTATTGTTAGCAATACCACCATGGTTCAGTTATAAAAATTGATCACTTTAAAGTACCATACAGAAACTTAAATAAGAGTAAATAAGGAGATGTGCAATCTTTCCAGTGGATGCATTACAATGATTCATATCGTGTGTAACTGCTAAATTATAGAGAGTTATTTGCATTAAAAAAACACTATTTCTTTGACAGTATTTTTTTAACTTTTATTGACTTATTTGTTACTTTCTGGAAATTTGGGAAAGATTATTTTAATCTTAATCAAGATAAGATGATTTACAAAATTGTTAATAATAATTTTATGGACAACATTTCTACACCTATTCCACTAAGAATATCTTCCTCTCTCTACAAGCATTAACAGTTTCCCTCCTATCCCTCACCCTGATCCTTTTGCAGACATATAATAAATTTGTGTCATATTACTCGATCAAGGGTTGGAGCGATAGCACAGCGGTAGGGCGTTTGCCTTACAAGCGGTCAAAATGGCCGACCCGAGTTCGATTCCTCCGCCCCTCTCAGAGAGCCCAGCAAGCTACTGAGAGTATCTCACCCTCACGGCAGAGCCTGGAAAGCTACCCGTGACATATTCAATATGCCAAACACAGTAACAACAAGTCTCATTATGGAGATGTTACTGGGCCCACTCGAGCAAATCGATGAACAATGGGACGACCATGATTACTCAATCAAAAAAAAAAAAACAACTTTAAGTAATGGCAAATGGAATGATCAGAAAATAGATTAACAACAATTCATTTTCATGATTAATTACCATATTAATCTGTTTGAATGTATTTTTATATGAGATGAACATTTAAGCAATTATAATTTGAATTTCTAAAAAGGGGATCAAACCCAGTATATACACACGACTTGAGGACACTCCAAGAAATGAGATACTCAAGTATCTCAGTGATACTTAAGAGTCCTCAGGGCTACACTAATGCTGCTTAAGGGTAGTGCATGGCAGGAGACATTACTCAGGGCCTTGACAATGGCTAGGCATGTTATCTTTCACTTGCCCTTAATTCAGTATGTTTTGGGTTAGAATGCATTCAACCACTCAAACCAAAAAAGTTATTACTGGCAATAAACTGTTGCAGGGGTAAGCTACAACTCAACTCATCCTTAAGTCTACTTTACATGTTTAGTTCTTGCAAGTCTCCACAGAAAAGGTTTCAAAATCTCTCTTCCTCTCTCTAGCTGATTGTTTCTTTCTATATTTTTATCTTGCACTCTTCCTTCTTCTCTCCCTTACTCTCCACATCACTGCTATTCTTTTATCTACCTCTCTTCTCTTCATTTATTATATGTATACTATCAATTCTAAGGGTACATATATATATATATGTATATATATATATATATATACACACATACACACATTGGTTCTCTGAAAAAAAATATAAGAAATGAAAGCATTTACATAACCAACCATCAATTCTTGCAGATTAGAAACAGAAAGGAACTTCCCTAGCTAATAAAAGATCTCTGAGAAAAATTTACATCTGACATTACTTAATGGTAAAATATTTGTCAAGTATCTCTATTCTCAACCATTTAACTTTTCACCATAGATCTGAACTAGTGCACTTTCTATAAGAAAAAAGTAACAAATGGTACAAAACTACAGCAGAGTAAAAGTAAAATTAGTCTTTAATTGCTAGTATTATTGGCTACAGAGAAATTATCCCGCAACATATAGATAACTGTTAGAATTGATATGAATATCTAACAAGCACAGAATACAAGATTAATGTACAACAATAGAGTATATTTTAACAGAAATTATATTATAGAAATAATTGTAAAATCTTAAACTTCGGGCAAATATTTTTAAATAAGAAATCAAGATTCACATCCCACTGCTGATACTATGTAAACAAGTCAAGTTTCACAGCTTCACACTAATCTCTAAAGAGACAACAAGCTACTGAAATTTCCAGGTACAGGGGTTTCTTGCTGAAAGTTCTGAGGTCTTAGAAGTGGGGTCAGAAGCTCCCACAATACTGTCCAAAGGCCCAGCAACCATAAACATGCCAGAGCCAACCATAAACATGTAAACAAGCCAGTTTCACAGCTACAGAACTAATCTTTGAAGAGATACAAGCAGCTAAAACTCATAGTATACTGGTCTTCAGATTGAAAACTCTTGGGTGCAGTTGGGAGGGGTCAGGCTGAGGCTCCACCTGCTAAAGCCCTGGAAGCCATAACCACACACACACTCTGAAGTCATTGCCATACAAATAGCCTGATTTCACTGCTTCAATATTAAGCTCTGAAGAGACAACAAGCTGACAAAACTAAGTGGAATGCATGGCTGCGTATGTGGCCAAGGGACACCTCAAAATTCCACAATACCAAGAGACTAATAAATAAGATGGGAAGGTATAACATAGAAGATAAATAAGTTCAATAAGCAAAAACAACAATAACAGAAGACTCAACTAGAAACAAACAATTCAGTAAATCTTCTGACTTTACTTTTACTATAATGACTCCATTGTGAGATATACCAATTTTCATAAACTTTTATTGAGCTACTTTTTGATAATTCCCTTACAATTTCATTGTAACATGGGTTATAAAAGAAATTATTTGTGCCTACTAATGGAGCAGGCTTGTGAGTAGGTGGGAAACTGGAGACAATGGTGGAGGGAAGGCCACACTCGTGGTGGGATTGGAGTGGAAACATTGAATGCTCAAAATAACTGTATTAGAGGCAAGCTTGTAAGGCATATTATTAAACTAAAGCTAAATAAATGTATAAGTAAGAAATCATCAAAACCATAAACAAAAATGAATTTATTGAATTTATTAAATATCTGACCCAAAGTGATAGTCCATTAAGTATAAAAGTACATGAAAATATATAATAAATGATTTTTTATTTAACACTTTACTAAATATTATTTATTTTTATTAATTAAAGAGCTGTTATTTGGAAACTTATTGATATATATCTTAGAAAGCATTAAGTAAAATACACAAAAGTTTTAAACAGACATTCTACTATAGAAAAGATTTTTGTGCTAACTAAATAAAACCATTCTCAACATTCAGAGTCCACAGTGAAGCACCATTACACACCTAATAACTAGGGAGGAAAAAAGTAAGCCCAAATTTTGGTTGTGAGTCTAAGTTAGCATGCAAAAGATAGGATATTTCTGAAAAACTCTAACAATTTTATATGTACAATTGCATCATGTATTTATTGTGTGACTCAGAAATTAAACTATTTGATGTTTATACTCAAGAAATAAAACTATGTTTGTAAAGCATATATAAACACACAGATGTTTATAGTAGCTTTCTCTTTGATACTCCAAACTTAAATCTCCCAGTTTTGCATTGCTTTAGTAAAAATAAAATAATGAAATATTCCCTTAAGCATCGCCAGGTGTGAAAAATACCCCTAAACAAACAAAACCAAACCAACAAAAATTTATTGATGAATCTCAAAATAATGATGCTAATAAATAATCTCAGATTACAAAAAAAAACCTGTCATACACTATTCTATGCAGTTTCCTGTAAAGGACATTCTAGAAAAGGCAAAACTGTAGGCAAATAAATCAGCTCAATAGATGCCAAGGTCTGAGAATTGAGGAAGTTTTTAATTTGAAAGGCACATAGTATCCCTGTGGATATAATTCAAAGCTGTCACGTGATGGCTATGTGATTGCAATATTTATTTTAAAATTACCAGAATGTTGATCTAGGGATAATTTAAGGAATGGTTTAAGGAGTGGAGTAAAATGATTAGGATATTTAAAATATATGCAACATCGTGAAAGGCTTTATAACCCAAGCAGATAAAATTCACTTCACATTTTTGGAAATAATTTTCTTTCTGCAATATTATATGGCTTCAAAGACAATAATATTGCTCTGAATTAGAACTGAATTGGGGAGACCACTTCTTTGCCAGAATTTTTAAGTTGAAGGAAACTATTCGGAGCTTAAATGTTAAGAACCATGCTTAAGTATTTGTTTGATGTATATATCGTGCTTTTGTTTTATTTTTGAGTAAACTAGTTTCTTTTTGAATGAACTAATTTCTTTTTCTGTGTTAAATTTTGTTTCTTTTCTAACTCAAAGTTATTCTGCTACAAACTTTGTATTTTGTTTTATTTAATTTGTTTTTTAAAATTATTTTTGTTTTGTCACACTTTTGCTGACTTTTTGGATATCTTTTTTTTTTTTGGGGGGGGGTGTTAAGTGCACTTTACTGGGCCCCTGGGCCATGTCCGAGCCAGGCCAGAGGCACCCCTTGGCCCGAGCTGCGCAGGAAGCAGAGGGTGCGGGGACTCACGGGGCAGCTCATCCTCCTGCTCTGAAGGGTCCCGGGCTCCGTGAGCACCCAGCTGCCCACTCTCCTCCCGCAGCCACTTTGCCATGGGCGGGGAATGGGCTGCCTCCAAACCAGCCACTGGCTCCAACCTAACGTGGCACCGGGCAGGTCCTCCACTCTCCTCAGGTGGGGGCAGAGCGGGGTGACGGCCAGGCCGGGCAGGCCGCGAGTGGCAAGTGGCGTGGGTCCTTCTCCGCGGACCCCAGCAGGGTCACCAGTCGCGCTTGGCGGGCTCTCGGTAGGGCAGGCCCAGGAGGCGGAAAACGTCCTTCTCCGTGGGGGTAGGCAGCACCTGACCCGGCCCCACCTTGAGGCCACGCGGGCCTCGGACCACGGCGCTGCTGAGCGCATGCTCGGACAGGCTCATGCCCTTGGTCTTGGCCAGGGCCCGCATGGAGCGGTTGAAGTGCGCCGAGCCCGTGAAGTAGAGCAACGCGCAGGCAAACTCGCCGTAGGGGACTGTGATGATGTCCAGCCGCCAGTGCCTCCGCCCTGGCCCTGGCAGCCGGCACACGCCCAGGTACTTCTGCTGCTGGCCGTTCTCCTCCTGGCTCACCAGGTCATCGGTCAGGAACCCTTGCTGCCGAAGGTTCTCAAGGAGACGACTGAGGATGCCTTGATGAGAGCGACCATCAGGGTGAGTGACCAGCACATCCACGTCCCCCCACAGCTTGCCTTCCCCCGTCTGTATGAGCCACACGCCACACACAGCAGCCCGGGGCTCAAGGCCTGAGCGGATTCCCGGACCGTCTGTTCAATTTCTGCAGCCTCCTCCCTGGGCATGCGCTCTAGGAAGTCGTCATAGTGTTTCAGGCCAATGGCTTGCTGGGTGGTCAGCGGTGCCTGGATGTCATCTAAGCTCCGGAAGCCCTGCTGATACCACATCTGGGCAGTCTTGGTGCCAGCCCCCCAGATGTTGGAGAAGAGTTCCAAGACTGGCACACTCTCGCTGATGTGGTCCAGCTTCCTCAGGTGCCCGCTCTCCAGGATCTCCACAATCTTCTCGGCCATCCGCTTCCCAACCCCGGGGATGCTGCAGGCCTCCTGGTAGGTGGTGACAGGCTTGTGGAAGCTCTTGAGGGCATTAATGGCCTTGGTGTAGCCCAGGGCCCGCCGTTATAGCTAAATATTTATTTCACTCTGTCATTTTCACTCTATAAAACTCTGACATTTTTTATTACATTTCTTAAAAGTTTTAGGCTTTCCTCTTTGATTCAACAGTGACTTAACAATATTATATCAAGATTGTGTTTATTTTTAATGTATGTATCAATTTTTCTCTATAATGTGTGCTTTCATTAACTAAAAGTAATATAACTCTATATCTTTATTCTTTTTCATAGGGACTTAATTATTCCTGACTGGAGCGATTGCACAGCGGGTAGGGCGTTTGCTTTCAATTCGGCCCACACAACTGACCAGGGTTCAACTCCTCTGCCCCTCTCGGAGAGCCTGGTAAGCTACCGAGAGTATCTCACCCGCACGGCAAAGCCTGGCAAGCTACCCTGGATGTATTCTCTATGCCAAACACAGTAACAAGTCTCACAATGGAGATGTTACTGGGCCCACTCGAACGAATCGATGAACAACGGGAGGACAGTACTACAGTGCTATTAATTTATTTATAACTCACAAATATATTTTTTATGAAATATTCATAAGCACTACAAATCTTTAACTTGATTTGTTTCATTTCTAAAGTTTTAAAGAGTAATTAAACTTTGTTTTAGCTGTTGGGTCATATTTCTTTTCTTGGAGCTTGATAGCTTTGTTTTATTCTAGTTAATACTTATGTATTTCTGGTGGTATGAAGCAAAGAAATTGTTAGGCTATTCTTGAGACACAATATTCATATTCATTGTCACTCTTTACTATACCTTATTTTAATTGGTTTGGATTAATGTTGCAATCTCCTCAATGCACTCTGTTATTATATACAGGGTGAGCTCAGTTGGTTAGGGCATGGTGCTGATATCAAATACAGGAAGATCATATAAGATTGTTAGTTAAAACTTGGGAAGGTATATGACAGACCAAATTTTAATAAGATGGTGCTAAAGACTTCACTGAATTTGGGATTTTACTCTGTAGTAGCATCCAGAAAGGAAAGAAACTATCACTATCACTATTACTATCACTATCACCCCATTGTTCATTGATTTGCTTGAGTGGGCGCCAGTAGTGCTTTCATTCATCCCTGCCATGTGCTAGTGAAGCCCGATGACATACTGGGGGCTCTTTCAGGGTCAGGGGAATGAGGACCAACATTGTTACTGTTTTTGGCATATTGAGTACGCCACGGGTAGTTAGCCAGGTTCTGCCGTAAGGACGGGATACTCTCGGTAGCTTGCGGGGCTCTCCAAGGGGGATAGAGGCTTTTGGAGCAGCTTCTAATCACCTTTACAGGTGATCCCAGTCAGGCATATATGCGGGCATGATACTCTCAGTAGCCTGCCGGGTTCTCTGCGAGTAAGAACTAGAGAATAAGAGGAAAGAAACAATGTTCAAGAAATGCTTATGCTGAAATACAAGGAGTTTCATAACAAGCAAAAAAAAAACAGATAATTATTTGTTTAACCATTTCCTGCAATACCATAATAAGAAGTAAGTATGTTTAAAATCATCTACTAACATGAAAAGTTAAGACAAAAAGATTGTGTTTCAAGATAGTACAAAAACAGTATAATTAAATGTTTTAGCATCAAATATTTTGTGAATAAAAAAATTCTCAGAAACAAGTTAAAGTTTTATAAAATTCTGTTCTCTTTAGGAAAATCCACCATTTCCTAATTTCTTGGATTTTCCTTTCCTGGACTGTAAAGTGTTTCACTTATTTTATTTTTTTATTTTTGGGAAGGGCCACACCCAGTAGTACTCAGAGGCTTCTCTTGGCAATGTTTAGGAGGCCATTGTAGTGCCAGTGATTGAACCGGGGTCAACCATATTCAAGACAGGCAACTTCACCCTTGTGCTATCTCTCTGACCAGAATAATGTTTTGAGTGCTATAATGTGCATGGAAAATATACTGCACTTAATGAAGAACCCATTAAGATTGAATGATGTACGTTTAAAAAGAAATTAGTAAAAAAAGAAATTAAGAGTAAGAGTAGAAAGATCCTTTTCTAATTTTTGCTTAATTTTAGGTTAGGAGTTTCTAAGTGTTAACATTAGCTAAGAAATAATTTTATAGAATAATTAAACAAAGAAAGTTTTGTAGCTCAAACATTATGCATAAATGTCATCTTAGAGTTTCTATCCTAAGTGTTTTGAGCTCAGTTCTTCACTCCTCAGGTTTTCTTATTTTTCCTAACCCTTCCAAATTTCCACCACAATAGCATAGATAACAAATTTAATTTGTGCTTCTGGAAAGAAAGTTTCAGATTTTCATAACCTGAGACTAATCATGATGGTTGGCTGGGCATCAGACCAAATGATCTCAAACTCAGGGTATCTTGAGATTCTACAAAGTATTTTCTTCGAAATATTTGCTTCTGGAAAGTTCTACATAATCTCTAGTAATGAAGTAATAGAACACTGCAAATCTTACAGTCTGATCAATTTGATCTAAATGGGCAATGCAACATCCCTTAAAGACCTTAAATCAAAGTCTTCCTTCCCCGTACTGCACTGAACATCCAGAATCAAACTGGCAGGGTAAATAGAAAGCCAGAACCCCTAAGGAGAACAGCAGGTAGGGCAGGCTCATAAAACAGAGGCCCCCCATCCATATGTGGTCATCTGGCAGTCCCATGAATCAGACTCACAAAGACAAGAACCTTTGATCTACTTGAAAGTTTGGAGATTGGAAATACAAACTTGAATGACCTTTGGCCTATTCAGTTGAGCAGCTTACCCTTGTTCCGTGTGTGTGTGTGTGTGTGTGTGTGTGTGTGTGTGTGTGTGTGTGTGTTTTCAAATTTCAGTTCCAATTCAGAAAAGTCAATGTAGAAGTGTTTTTTCTTTTGTCATGTTTGTTCATTGACTGGGTAGATTGTATTTTCATTTTTGTGTGGCTTAATGGTTCTATAAACTGATTTCAAAAGGACACTAGGGAGCTAAGCAGAATGCTTTTTATGAGGCCTCATAATTGCTTTCTCTGTTTCTGCCCCTGTTCTTTTCGCATTGATCCTCAAAACAGCAGCCAGAGTGATCGTTCAAATTCTCACACTTTGCACTCCCGTCTCCCTTCTGCTCATGATCAACCATGACTTTGGAGCAAACATCATGGCTTTAGAAACCTTATCCAGTCCCAGTAGTCAGTGCCTCTCTCACACAGTTTTCTATTTCTCTATTAGTCATCATTTTGGGTTTGCCTTGTTATTGCTTGTTCATTTGGCATTTTTAATTTCTTGTTCACTTTGGGCTATGCCTAGCACTGCACTGGGGATACCGCCATCTATGTTTGAAGTTTATGCCTAGTGGAGTTCAGTGAGGATGGGGCAAAGATCATGAGGTGCCAGGGATTCAACTTGGGTCTCTAGTATGCAAAGCATGCGATCCCACCTGTTGAACTCTCTCTGGTCCTCATCTTTTCTTGCTTTCCTCAGCACTTTTGGATTTCTCAACTAAGAAAAATATGAAAAGTATAAGAAAGTTGTGAATGAAAGACAATGGCTGGCTCAAGGAGGTAGCTCAAAGGAGTGCAACATGCATGAGGCCCTGAATTTGATCTCTGGCACCACATGGATTTCCTCAAATCTGGGTCTGATCAGCACTGCATGTCCTAATCACAGGAATGATTGGTATCATCTGGCAAAAAGAATTTATAAGGCTTAGTTAAAAAAGCAGGTTCATATTAATAGTTCGAGAGGTAATAGTTATTTAGGTGGTATTAGGAACAGTTTAAAAGCAGAATTAAGATGTTGACATTCATTGATGTAATCCCCCAAAGAAAATGCAGAGACTAACAGTTTTCAGGACTCACAAAACATAAACTCTTGAGTTTTATCACAGTATTCATTGCAGATGATTAGATATGTGAGCCACTAATATTTGATGAAATTTTACCTGGTGATTCCATAGTGCTGGAGTGATAGCACAGCAGGTTGGGTGTTTGCCTTGCAATCAGCCAACCCGGCCGACCCAGGTTCAATTCCTCTGTCCCTCTTGGAGAGCCTGGCAAGCTACCGAGAGTATCTTGCCCACACGGCAAAGCATGGCAAGCTAACCTTGATGTATTCGATATGCAAAACACAGTAACAAGTGTCACAATGGAGACGTTACTGGACCTGCTCAATTCCATAGTATTGCTTCTTCAGACTTTAATTAAAACATGTTAGATTTACACACTTCATATCTTCTGTACTGTGGTGTCTAATCTATCAACCCGTATTTTGCTGTGTTTCTTTTTTTCCTTTCACTGCTTAGCTGGTATAGATGTCAAAATATTTAATAGTGAAATGACTCACTGAACCTCACTTTTATCCTCCAACACACACAAAATATAATAATATTTTATATAAAGTTCTCATATCCTGAAAATTTATACCAAGCAAGAGTAAAATACCTGATGACATAGATGGCTTTAGATGCATTTAATATTAGTACAAAATAACTTGAGTTTATTCATTTTGAACTATTTTGGACTAAATTTACAAGTGATCTGTTCATTTTCTAGGGAATTGCATTATGTTAAAAAATAGTCAATCTCTTCTATATCTAATATATTTAAACATTCAATTCATTGGCTCGAGTAAATTTTTAAGATCTATAAAATTAATGCTTTAATGTAGAAATACTTCATTTCCTATCCACTCAGTCTCTCTTTTTGTCTCTGAATGAGAGCTAATAAATGATAGCAAAATCACATATCTCGGAGAAAATGTAGCCAATGTATTAGTCAGGCCCTGAATAATTTCTGTAAGAAATTATTAGAATTTAAAAGAATTTAAAACAAAAGGCATCAATGTAAGAATTTAAAGCAAAAGGCATCAATGGAGGCAAATGATATATAAGAACTGGGGAGTTGTACTTAAAATGGTGTAAAAGGAGATTAGATTTAATTAGAAACTTGAGACCTTGGTTAGTAGGGTAAAATGAAGAACTAAATTAATTACAAACTAGCTAGGGTTCAAGATTTCAGAAACAATATGGAACCTGACATTTGTTTTATCAG